GAGATGGAATTACTCCCTAAAGAAATCCACAGACTTGAGTTGAAAAGAGCTGAGCAAGGCTGCTGAGAACAGGATCATGAAGGAGATTGGATTGCTGCCTTTACCCAAGGAGTTGAAGAAGTTAGGAACAGGTGAGCGCAAGAAGGGATGGAGTCGGGAAGTGGGTTCGATTACCCTACCCTCGGAGGACTGTGAGATCCCTTATGGGGCCAGCCCCTTTCTACCCAGGCTGGAGGGCTCTGTCGTGAGACATCCCTGTTGCGGGACGACATGTGTGGTGTTGAGTACTCCCATAATGAACCCGGATGTAACCCCCCTTTTTGGGGTGAAGAAACCTTAAAAGTTGGGGATGTTGGAACTGTTGTTAAGCCTAAGAAATACACTTTGTTAACGGATGCAGAACTGTTAGACCCGTTCGGTCCTGAGTTGTTTGATGTTAAAAATAATAAAACTAAACCGTTTGGAACTGTAACGTCTACCCCGGCTGTTATTCCAACCGAATCCCTAGGCCCACCCATCTTAGATAAAGAACCCAATCACAGTGGAATCCGACATCAGCCATTCTCATGACATGCCCAAACCAATGTAGATGTCGCTGTTTCAGTAATGTATACATGCTAAAAATTCCAGCTCATTCTAGGACTACTCTATTTGTAACTTTGCCCTGCCAGGTGATACCTAAAATGTGTCGGAGACAACACATATGGAACATGTTCAGCTTCCTCTCCTGCCATGCACAAATGGTCCAGGACTCACTGCAGTACAGGAGTGTGCTCAGGACACAGGCTCTATAGACCTGGATCTTGGTATATGTCATCAGCTTCTTAATGAGCTATACTCTCTTTGTGATTCTAGAGAACATGGGCGCCGAAGGAAAAAAAGTTGAGTGCTTTGTTTCGCTTCAACAAAACAGGATCTCCTAACTGGGTCGTGAAGGAGCTCAGTTTGTTTTTCTGGTTTGTGGTTCGGTTCGTCCCCATCTCCACTTGTAACATGAAAAAAACACAACCAACAATTTAAATACACAACTGAATCTGGCCGCTATTCTTACTTCGCTGAGCAAAGGAGTACATGTGGGTGGGTATAGCTAAAAGGAATTCCTAAACTAATTGTCATAGATTTGTGAATTTGGTATTCCAACCTCAGTACAACAGGGATACACATCAAGCTGTTTTTGATGAGAATGGCAGGGCTAAATCATCTGGAGGACTGCAACTGTGCATCCCTGATTTGGATCAGTTCCCTTTCAGGAAAATCTCTTGTGTGGTCCTTTTCTGTGGGAAAATAAAAACAGTTCAGTGCCAAGTCCATTTTAATCTTAGCCAAAGCAGAGAAAGATATCTTGTTGTAGGGCTCTTTGTAGTCTTGTATCTTCCCCATTTCCACAATGTCATGGCTTTGAACAACTACTTACTACTACTGTACCAGCACTAGTTCCTCAAATGGTGTCATATCCTGAATTATGGCATGGTTCCGGTATACTGTCTAATTCCATGCAGTGCTTTTTTGATACAATATTATACAGATTTGGCTCAGTAGAGTTATTAGTTCCACAATGACTGATGGATTAACTTTAAATTGTGATCCCATATACATTATACCCTTATTGTTACCAACTGCATTCTACATGACATGGAGATCCTTCTTCAGTACTCTCCACTAGAGAGATGACTTTTTTTGTGATGGCATTCAATATGCAAATCTGTCTCCTATAAAAATCTGTTCCCATGTTTGCTCTCTTTAAAGTGCTAGAGAAAATCCTCCTTGTTCTCTCCTGGTTTAAGTTCCTGCCTGAGCCCCTTCAATGGTTGTTTGCTGATTCTATTTGCCACTCTATTGTTTCATTTGCATGGTTTATACTTGTTTTAGCATTGTATTTTATCATATATTACTGTTGCAACCTATGTTTGTGAAAGGCAGGAAGAAATCTCTAAAGCAAACAAGCAGAATGAAACTGGGCACCACAGTTTTGGACTGCAGTTATATTCAATCCAAGGCAATCCTTTTTGGCTTTGGATCTTGTTCTCAGAAATTTTAATAAATGCATTTATGCTTTGCCAAGCCTTATGAATTGGAGTCTCTGACTTGCTTTATATTGCTCTCTCTTTTCTCTGCTTTTAGCCAGGGATCATGACAAGGATGGTGAGAAGTGGCAGGCACTGACTAAGATACTGTACTTCCTACTACAATATTCTACCCCATGTTAAATGCCAGTATCCTGGTGAGAAGTGACTGACTAAGATATTGTACTTCCTACTACAGTATTCTACCCCATGTTAAATGCCAGTATCCATGTACATCATACTTATAGCTAAATCTTTTTTCCTCTAATAATGGTTTCTGCTTCACAAAACTGTTTTTTTCTGGAGTTAACAGTCCTACTGTTATTTGGCTGTATTTTGTGCCTGTTTGAACTATTTTTATGTTGAAACTGTTTTAATACATATTTTGATTCAGCTTTCTGTATAGTCCTTTGTTTGTTATTGTTATGTGCCATCAAGTTGCTTCTGACTTATGGTGACCCTATAAATGAGCAATCTCCAGAATGGCCAGCCCTCAACAGCCCTGCTTAGCTCTTACAAATTCAAACCTGTGGTCTCTTTAGGGAGTCAGTCTATCTCCTATTTGGTCTTCCTCTTTTCCTGCTTCCTTCCACATTTTCCCAGCATTATTGTCTTTTCCAGAGAATTCTGCCTTCTCATGAATTTGTCCAAAGTAGGACAGCCTCAGTTTCAACATTTTTTTGTCTTTCAGATAGCTCATGTTTGATTTGACCAAGGACCTATTTTTTTGTCTTTCTAGCAGTCCAGGGTTTCCACAAAGCGGTCTCCCAGCACCACATTTTAAATGAATAATTTTTTTCTCCAGTCAACTTTCTTTACTGGCCAACTTTCACACCCATATATGATGATTGGGAATACAAGGATAGGAATGAATTTAGGCTTTGTCTCCAGTGACACATCCTTCAATGCTTCCCTTCCCAGTCTCAGTCTTCTGCTGTCTTGGCTGCAATCTCCATTTAAATTGATGATTGAACCAATGTATGCAAAACCTATATTTCAATTTCTTCATTGTTGTAATAAAGACATTATAGAAATTTTATAAAATATTAATCACAGTTATGCCACTGATTTCAATTAAAGAGCTACAAATAATGCACGGCTAGCAATCTGCTATATATAGCAATCCATTATGTATCTGACTCTCAGCAATCTTTTGTTGATTCCAAAACAGAGACCAGGAATGAAAAAACTGTTGCTGGTATCATCGTCTTAAATGGGAACACTTCAAAATGTTTCACTGGCAGAGCCAGTTTTAGAATAACAGATATCTAAAGTGTAAAGGTTAGCTCAGTGGTTTTCATTGCATATGCTTTCATTGTATACGACCACTTTTCTGTGTAATAGACAGAACATATCTGACCTGCACGCAAGTACTGTACTGAACAGACAATGTATATCTTAAAAGTAAAGCAATATAATGTTAACAACTATTTTAAAGGAAAAGTAATGGCTCTACCCCAGATACCTTTACATGCTGCTACTACAGATACCCATACTACACCCCCTCAACTCTCAGGTATCACAGTGAATTTGAATGTGTTACTCCTTGCAAATTTTAGCAGTCCTGTACATTAATGTGTGTCAATTGTATTTTTATTTTCTATGCTGTTTCCACAGTTTTGTCTTTCTTTCTCGTAGTACACACACATATTTTCATTCTCCCACAAAGGGACTCAAGGTGTCTCACAATAATGAACACACAAGTAAAGACAATAAAGAACACAAAGTAAAGACAATAAATATGCAATTTAATACTAAAATGGTTCAGTCTAGTATATATGTTAATTCTACTATGTTCAAGACTATCCACCACAGCCTTTTCTCTTCATAGTCCCTACCAATGATGAATGGAATTATCTCTGGAGACAAAAATAATGAGATTGAGGCTGTCTTACTTTGGGCACATCATGAGAAGACAAGATTATTTGGAAAACACAATGCTGAAGAAGGTTGGAGGCAGCAGGAAAAGAGGAAGACCAAACACGAGATAGATCGATGCCCTAAAGGACCCACAGGCTTGAGTTTACAAAATCTGTTGAAGACAGGATATTTTGAAGATAGTGCATTTTTAATGTTGAGGTAAATTGAGGGCGACTTAACAGCAGGCAACAACACCAGCCATAAAGAGTAGGAATCACACAGGTAAGGTAATGCCAGATGGAGGGAGAAGTCACAATCAAGAAGACCTTACTCTTCAGGCAAGTTTCTTCATGGATGACTGTGCCTTACTGCTTTGAATGAGTTTTGGTGTTGCTTTTGTTTATTTTGTATTTGTTTGATCTTTTTTAGTATTTGCATACTTACTAGTTTTATCCTTAAATATTGTCTTTTAATGATGTGAGCCGCCTTGGGTATCCTTAAATATTGTCATTTAATGATGTGAGCTGCCTTGGGTCTTGCTTAAGGAGAAAGGCAGGGTAAAAATAAAATAAAATAAATATCGGAAGCCTCTTCGTCTCCGCGAGAAAAATGAACTACGTACTGGATCACATGAAGTCAATTATTCTTTAGCTGCTAGTAAATGAAGAGATAGATGAATAAATAAAGCCTCCCATTCCAGATCTGTCTCATGACGGAGATGCAACCTATACATGCCTAGATAACACCACATTTACTGCTTTGCACGTTCTAGCGCTAAAGCCTGGCATTTAACAGTAGTTTTTGTGACAAAACAAATGCAAAAATAAAAAGGCAAGAAGGGGCGATGGATGAAGCCGATAACACGACGGTACGCACGGGACGTTTGAGGCTAGTATGGGGTGAGGCGAGGCATTCACGGAGGTTTAAGAGGGGGGACAAAGCAACTCAGGGAAGTGACTCATGGCCGGAGCCAGCAGCCACGATGTGAAGGGGAAGGCACTGCCCCATTCTTCCCGCCTTTCCATTCTGAGGAAAAGGTTCCTCACGTGAGGCCCCGTCTTGCCACAGTGGTAAGGGAGGCAGGGCGGCCGGCGGCAAGGAGCGGAGCCCCGACTGCCGGGCTCAGGGGCGGGGGAAGAGAGAGAGAGAGAGAGAAAAGGAACGAGCGAGAGGCGGAGAGGAGCGGGAAGAAAGAGCCGCCCTATTAAGTGGCTCTTCCCGCCGAGTCTGCGGGGGAAGAAAGGAGGCGTGTTGTGGTGGTGCTGCTGCTTGCGGGCAGGGGAAGTGCCGCGGGACCCGTCCGTCTCCGCCTCTGGCTGGCGCTCTACGAGGAAAGGGCGCCGTCATGCCCACCAACTTCACCGTGGTACCGGTGGAGGCGCCCGCCGGCGGCGGCGAGGAGGGCCCGGGAGCCCAAGAGGGGCAACTGCCGCCGCCGCCGCCGGAGCTGGTCGAAGAGCAGGAGAGTGGTAGGCGTCATGGTCGAGGCGGCGCTAGCGGTCTCCTGCGGCAACAACAAACCGAGACCGGCCTCGTGGACTCGGAGAGCCCGAGTGAGTGTAAATAGCTGGGGGAAGGGGGGGAAGCCTTTCGACACGTGGGTCTCCCCGAGGTACTACGGAAGGGATAGCAAAGGTGCGGCGTCTGCCGGCTTGGGGGGGGAGAGAGGGCACCCTCCGCCTTTCCGCTCACTCTATGTCGGTGGGGCGGAGGGGTCCGTGTGGGGGGGGGATAAGTGGTTTTTTTTTATGAGGCAGGCAACTCCCACTTCAGCTTCCCATTCCCCGCCTGGCCGGAGGAAGCCGCCCTTTTGTCCGCTTCTCAGCGGCGGTGCTTCCCCAGGTGTAGGTGGCTCCCGGTGAAGAGGAATTTCGCTCCGGAGGTCCAGAGGGAGCCCGTGCGGCCCTTTTCGGCTGAAGTAAATGGAGTGTGGAGAGAAGTTGCAGTTTCGCTGGTTTTGGGACTTGGCTGTTTGCTTTTGCCCAGCCGGTCCTCAGGTGGCCTCTCCTTTCCTGGGAGCGAAGGGAAACGAGGAGGAGCTACGCCTCGTACAAAGAGCAGCGGCGGGATTAAAACAGCGCCCGTCTGGTGTTTTTCTGTTGTTGTTTTAACTGGGAAGTGAAGCTTCGACAAGTTCCTTATTTTTCACTTCACGTTGATTGCATCCAAGTGAAAGGAAAAGGGGGACTTAGTATATAAGGGAGTCACCTCCTTGCATCCTGGGAGGGCGGGAACTTCCAAGGCAAAATGAACTTGTGGGGAGGAGTGGAAAAGGTATAAAAGCCTCGGTGGCAGAATTTTTTTTGAGTGTCCCACTTCAAATGTTTGACTTTTTCCAATATATATTAAAAAATACCTTCCAGTAGGCAGTGAATTAGAATGCCAGACAAACAGGTTTCCATAATTTCTTCTGATATGTTATTTACTACTTCTAGCACTGTTTTTACTTGGGGAAGTGCCCCAAAACACGACTCCACCTGTAGCCTAAAGTAGTGTACCAGTATCTGCCAGTGGCGCATGTTTTGAATGACCTACTGTTGTTATCTGCCATCAAGTGGCATCTGACTTATGGCAATCCTAATAGGGTTTTAAAGTTATGAGATATTTAAGGAGTCTTATTATCATTGCTCCCTCCTGAGTTTGGTGGACGAGCTGGTGTTTGAACCAAGCCTTCCCAAGTCCTAGTCCATCATTCTATCTACTACGCCACACCGGCTCTCAAGTAAACCAACATTAAAATGTGATTCCTCTAACTGTAATGTGAAAGTGACTCAGCCCATTCTGCTACATAATTTTCACAATATTCTTGCTGCATGTATGAATCCAGCTTAAAAGGATGGCTAATCTTGGTGGTGTGTGCTAGCTAGAACAGGAAAGGATATTCTAAGGACAAAGGGGAGATGCTGAAAGCAAAGTACTGTACTAAGGTGAATTAATAGGAAAGGATGGACAAATTTGAAAGATCATGTAATTAAAGAAAAAGAGAAAGAGGTGTATTTGACTTCTCCAAACCAGGAGACAAAGATACAGGAATAAGGTTGGATGTGTCTAGTTTTGAATATGCATCAGTTGCATTTTGTTTAAAATAAATGGTGGAGAGACAGTATAATGTTTACAACAATATGGAGTGGTGCTCTTTTGTATGTCTCATCAATACCTTCAACATTTATACAGAATTAAAGTTTGTTTGTTTGTTTATTTAATTCCCCGCCCATCTAGACCGTTAATATTATTAAGCTTGTGGACTGGGTGTTCCTTTGTTAGGCTCACGCTGAGCTCATATTAATAAGAGCTTAATATAGGAGATGTCTCCAGGTAGTGTTTTAAGAAGATAGCCACTAGAATTTCTGTCAAGTAACAGTGAGGGGTTTTTGTGTGTGTGAAAAACTGCCAAAAAATTTAGAGGAAAAAATATATGAATTCACTGAACACCTCTTGCTAGTGTAAGATCTGTCTTGGATGGATCTGATATGGAATCCTGGATCAGCTGCCGCCATATGTGCTATGCTTGTCTATGTAAAGTCCAGATACATAAAGTCTCCAATAGAATCTACCCGTGAGTAGAAATGCCTGGGGTTGCAATATGAATAGCAAAATACCTTATATATTTAAGAAGTTCAGAAGGGTCAGGAGGATGAGGAACTCTGTTTTATCTGCTTGTAATTTGAAACAGCTAAGCAAACTATGAGATTTTACTCCAGTTGCAACAAGAAACACAAAACAAAAGCCAATAACAAAACAAAACATGGTGCTTTAAAGACTAACTGCTATATTTTAATATGTTATTTAAACTATGTTTTGGCACTCTGATTCTTTTAGTGTTCTTTTCCAGCTTTGCTATGGTTTTTAATATTAAATATTCATGCCAGTACTTTAATCTCAATCTTGCTTTTCCAGAGAGAATACATATCCTCTATAGTACTTCCAGTTACTTACCTGTTTCATTTTTTATTTGTCATCTAGTGACGTCCATGTATGTAGTAATTTGTTTGGATGGCTGAAGCATGTACTGTATTTGCAATAAATAGGTTCATGGCTTCACATTTTTTTCTCCTGCTTTATTTCTGACTCCTGAGCCAAATTCTCAAAAAATGTTTGGTTCTAAATGTTTGGTTTTCCTTGTTCCCAGGTTTGGTTTTGTTTTGTTTTGGGTTTTTTTGCATTCCAGTTGCCTGTGGTTATCAGCACATCCCATTTTAGTGTACAATCAATTTTCTCCTGGATATTTGCATTGTTGTTGTTTAGTCGTTAAGGGGGTCCAATTCGTGACCTCCATGGACCAGAGCACGTCAGGCCCTCCTATCTTCCACTGCCTCCCGGAGTTCATGTTGGTAGCTTCGGTGACATTGTCCAACCATTTTGTCCTCTATCGTCCCCTTCTCCTCTTGCCTTCACACTTTCCCAACATCAGGGTCTTCTCTTCTCACGAGATGGCCAAAGTACTGGAGCCTCAGCTTCAGGATCTGTCCTTTCAGTGAGCACTCAGGCTTGATTTCCTTCAGAATGGATAGGGTTGTTCTCCTTGCAGCCCAGGGGACTCTCAAGAGCCTCCTCCAGCACCACAATTCAAAGGCATCAATTCTTCGGCGGTCAGCCTTCTTTATGGTCCAGCTCTAGCTTCCCTCAGTATTAGAGCCATTCTGTTTCTTCTGATTTTGCCATTTCAAAATTAAAATAATTTATAATTGTGTGATTGAAAATAAGCACTTCTAGTCCACTTTACCTCCTATACATCAAATACTGCAGTGTTACTTGCTTTATGGTTTCAAGTTAACCTTGGTTAATACCTCTCATGTTGAATGTTCAATTACTTGTGTTCGTGCAGCAGTGGACTTTCTACTTGCCTCTGTGCGCACTGACGCTGGATGTTATTTTAATCCAGTTGCTACATTAGCAACAGACCTGTTTGCACTTGACCTTTGCTCTTCCCAAATAGCTGACTGAGTGCATTTACTTGAAAATATTTCTGATGAAGGTGAAAGAAGAAAGTGCAAAAGCAAGAAGACAAAAACCATGTCTGCAGAATTATATGATTCTGATAAGTAATAAAGAAATTGAAATCATTAAAGATTTTTGGTACCTTGGTTCAGTTATCAGTCCAAATTGAGCTTGCAGCCAAGTACTGTAATTAGAAAGTAACTGAGAGTGGAAGGGCAGCCATGCAGGTACTAGAAAAGATTCTGAATCGTAAAGGTGCATTATACTGGAGACTTTTACATTAGGCATCCTTCAGTCTCGAAAGACTATGGTAACGTGCCCTGTATGGAAGACTTGGAACAGCATCTAGTGTGGCTGAGGAGGCCAATTCGAGAGTGACTATTGCTTCAACACTGAAGACAAATCCAATCTGTCCCCTGTCCATCTCCCTGGTTTTGCTGCTTTTGTGACTTCCTCTTTGCCTCGGCCTGCTGGACAAGGGTCTCTTCAAATTGGGAGAGGCCATGATGCACCGCCTGCCTCCAGGCTGAATGCTCAGATGTCAAGGTTTCCCATCTGTTGAGGTCCATTTCCGCCTGCAGATGTCCTTGTATTCCAGCTGTGGTCTCCCTCTGGGGTGATTTCCCTGCACTGATTCTCCATACAGGAGATCTTTTGGAATCTGACCATCAGCCATTCTCACGACATGCCCAAACCAATGTAGACGTCGCTGTTTCAGTAATGTACAATGCTAAAAATTCCAGCTAATTCTAGGACTACTCTATTTGGAACTTTGTCCTGCCAGGTGATACCAAAAATGCATCGGAGGCAATGCATATGGAACGTGTTCAGCTTCCTCTCCTGCCATGCACAAAGGGTCCAGGACTCACTGCAGTACAGGAGTGCCCTCAGGACACAGGCTCTATAGACCTGGATCTTGGCATATGTCGTCAGCTTCTTACTGGGTTATACTCTCTTTGTGAGTCTAGAGAACATGGTAGCTGCTTTGCCAATGCGTTTATCCAGCTCGACATCTAGGGAGAGAGTGTCAGAGATCATTGAGCCAAAGTACACAAAGTCATGAACAACCTCCAATTCTTTTTTTTAATTTATTTTTTAACAAAGGGTAACAGGAAGGAAAAAGAGATTGAGGTCAAAGGGAAGAGGAGAAACAATGACATACTAATATCCATTCTATACATATTGCCATCTCAAAATTCCAAATTGCTGTTTTTACTATTTTCTGCCTTCCAGATTTAAGTTCTCACTTTAATGCATGTTCTTTAAGCGATGTCTGATGACTCAAACCATTTGTAGAATAAGTCCCATCTTTCAGTTGCCTTTTGTAGAGGACAGTCCTTCATCACTTCTGATAAAATGTCCATTTCCGCTGTTTCCCGTATCATCTCTATAAGATCTTCTTGTTTCGGTACCATCGGACTTTTCCAATTTTTGGCATAAAGAATTCTAGCTGCAGTGACTATGTATATAACTATATACTTATTTGCCTTATCTATATTATCATGTATCATACTCAATAAAAACAGTTCTGGTGTTAATGGAACCTTACAAAGCAATATTTGTTGCTGCACAGCATGTACTCTTTTCCAATACTCTTTCGCTACTCTACATGGCC